CTGGAATGCACCTCGCATACCAAACCGGAAAACCAGACATGTCGCAAAACCAGCACAGCTCCACCAAGGCCGAGGCGCGGACCTGCTGGTCAATCGGTTGGTAGCCGCTTGGAATATCTTTATCGCAATCTTGGAAGCTGGACATGGCTGTCTGAACACTGGGTTATCCGGATATTCCGGGATGTCAGCAAGGAGAGGTGGCCGAAATCACCATGAGCTAAAGAATGAAGATCCATCGAACTATCTGCGATGATTTATTGAAGAACAGACTTAAGCTGTCGCGTCTCCTCTTTGCCGATTTCTTCTTGGGGCAAAAGCTGAGTGGATCGCCGTCGAGAGAGAAGTCGTCGCGTCCCCTCTCCTATCTGCTGTTCATCATATCGACCGCCGGCGGGCTAGAACCATACCCGATACGTTAAACATGATGCTTTCCACCGTTTGGGTTTTGGCTGCCATCGGGCTGGCCTCTACCAGCGAAACACCAGCTTCTGATGCTGTGACCAGCCTTGATCCAGGGTTGTTCTCAGGCGGATGTACGCCAGAGAAGATGAGCATTCGAAAGGAGTGGCGGAACATGACCAAGGTTGAACAGAAAAGCTATCTCAAGGGAGTCAATTGTTTGATGGATCTTCCTGCGCAAACGGGGCTAGAGGCCACCACGAACCGCTTCAGCGATCTGCAAGCTTTGCACCGTGCCCTTACTGACACCCCGGTGGGTGACATTATCCATAGTGTGGTGAGTTTCGCGATACATAGTGGCAGAGCCGAGTCTGACAGAATAGGGCCAATTCCTGCCCTGGCACCGATACTTCCTGCATGTATATGAAACATTGCTGAAGGAGCAGTGTGGCTATACCGGCCCAATGGCGTAGGTTTTGCGCCCCCTCATTGGCACAAGAAGAAAGGAAGCTGACTATATTGGAGATGGTGGAACGAGGCATACGATACGGATTCCGGGAATTTGTTCCGATCGGAGATGTGGGATGCAGATGCGTTTGGTGGCAATGGCACAGAACCTGATGGATGTGTGACCGATGGGGCCTTTGCGTACTACACGGAACATATTGGTCCCCAGGAACAAAACACGGTGTTCTGCATGAACCGCAGCTGGGGAAATTACGAGGCGATCTTGAATACTACCGGTGCGGCAGTCGCCCACTGCAATACATTCGACAGCTACGATGAATACTTTGCTTGCATTGCCGCCACGCCTCACCGAGGAGGTCACTGGGCGGTTGGTGGAGTGGTGAGTGCCTGCTTGTCCTGACGTGAAGGGGGTGGTTTGCGATTGAACTGACGCGAACGTAAAACACTAGATGGAGGATGTAAAGACCTCTCCTGGTGACCCGCTCTTCTATCTGCACCATGGCTACATCGACCGTCTATGGTACCGGTGGCAGATGCATGATCCCGCCAAGCGTCTGTGGGACATGGGTGGCCCTGCCATCAATGAATCGGCCAATGTTGAGCCCGCATCAGGCTGGCCGCAGACAACCCTCAATTATACCCTGACCACATTCGATATAATGCCGGATGTCACGGTAGCCGACGTGATGAACCCCGTTGGAGGATACCTCTGCTATAACTATGAAGCCTGAAAGGCTCAGATTTGGTTTGGTCACGGCATCCTCCCCTAACAGGGGCGCCTGCGGTCCTTGTATCAGGTGATCGCAAAGCGGCGATTAGAAGAATTGTTTGCTATATTATAGAGCAAGAAGTCCGATGCAATCGCTTCTCTTGTTTGCACGCGTATATCATATCCTCGAAGCCCCTTGACAGGCGATGTGCATCATTACACTTCCACCCTCGACTTGCCCTTCCGGGCTTTGTAAACCGTAATTCCTTACAAACCATAGAAGCATATGTCCACTCGATCGTTCGCTTCAGTCATACTTCGTTTGGTTATGCAAGATACGAAGATTGTCCGTAAATAAAGGGCGCTTGACTCGCTGATGGTTGCAGAGACTGACCGGGATTCTGATGCGATTCGGCCATTTCGAGCGGGGTGAGCATATTGCCAGTGTTACACCCTTCATCCAATGCGACCCATGCATCCACAACCAGTGAGTATCGAGCAATTGGGCGGATGAAACTAATTACTAGCCATCCCCGCCTCTGCCTTGCATCTGGACCGCAACAAGCCGCTCCCGCGTGACATGGGAGCAGCCGTGCCATCCACGCAGAATTGGCTTTCCAGTCCCGAATGTTCCTGACCAATTCGGACAAGCAAGAGGGGGTAGGTTACTATCCTTCTCTGGCTGATGCCTAGGATGATACTCCCATTCTATAGGAGAGCATATTGGCACGTGACCTCTTTTCGACGCTGTTTCGAGAGCCCTTCATCTACTGCATCGGGTGGGCAGATTGGCATCTAGAAGTTCACGCTGTTCCAAATAGCAGTTTATCGTCGGTCTCTCTCTCGTAAATCTGCAATATTACCAGCTGATGTCGCCTGCATGAGTCGACGGCCTGCGCGACCGTCTCGAGCAGTATACTGCTCATTCGTGCTGTAGACGGCCGGACGTCGTATCTGTTGCGCGGGGATTTGACCTTGACGATCTACCCTTCATCTGGTTAGATGAGTCTTCCGATCCCTAACATGGTTTCTACTTACTTAGTACTGCTCTGGATGAGGGGGAAGGATCATCAGTGGCCGGACAAAGGCAGGCAAGTGGTCACGTTGGGTCGGGCGGATCTTCATCCGATCGGCTGAGACAGACATTTGCTGCAAGAAGACTGCAAGTGCATGGAGTGTCGTTGATGATCATGTCCCGATCCGGTGATGGTCTGTTAAGTAAGTTATGTGTAGGTGCATCCCTAGCTTTTCGGCCAATTCCTACCTGCATTGGTGTGCTTGTCTCGGATGGCAGGCAACCTACGAGTCGACTCTCCACTACTACGCTGCCATGCATTGACTTCTAAGGGCATGCAAGTGAAAGGTATACATGCTCTAGCGACGTGCAAAGCGAGACGCCGTTCTCTATATCATGTACAACTCCTTCCGATCAACACACCCCGTTATTTGTGAGCTATAACCCAAAAGAATCTAGCCCTCGACGTTGAGTGTGACCCTCCTATCAGCACCCGCCACGACTCCTGCATGTCCAAGGGAGAGCTGCAGGCATCACATCCTAAAGAAGTAATAAGAAGATACCAGTGGTTCAGAAGCCAGGTACTTTGAAGACCCAAGCCAATAGATGAAACCGAGCTGGTTGGTCCCATTATTACGAGGGGCGGAGAAACAACTTTGTAGTCGATTGAAGACTTGCCAACTTGAAACACTTCTGGCCAGGTCTCTTTGGCCAATTTTCCAGACCAGGTGTCTCGCCACCAAGGGAAAAAGGCGAGATGACATCCAATTAAGAGGATGGACCAGCATCGACAGCTCTGCCGATCCCTGGAACCGCAACTGGTGATCATTGGCCCAGTGGTGCGGGGAAGACAAGCCGGGGGTAACAGGCGAAGCAAACCTAAGCAGCAGCTGCTGCACAAGAAAAGTGGTGATGCCATCGGTGCCAGTGACAAAGATACCACGGGCCATGACGCCACCAAGTAACACCACAATAGAACTCGCAGAAGAAGGCAGTGAGCAGGAGCCCGTCACTTGCCGGCCCACCCCCACAATCCCAGCATCTGCAGCTCTCCATCCGTGGATCAGCCCACCGTCGGGCCAACCACATCAACCCACCCTGCCGTCATCTGATCCTCTACTCTGCTCTGCCCTCTGTCTCTGGTTTCCTCTCCGTTCATTCATCCAACTAATGGAAAACTGATCAGCCCTTTCCAATACCCATTCTTGAATCACCCCACAGCCGGGCCTCGAGCAATAAATAGCCCCTTCGGTAGCTGCTCGACTCGCTCTTCTCTCCCCCCATCATCCTCAAAGCATCACAGCATACATAGATATACTTACCCTTTTTTACTCACCTTTTGCCCTGCTTCATTCAAGATGCCTGCAGCCGGCCCCATGGACGACCAATGGGTCTCCTTCCACATCCGGGACCACCTGGACAAGGGCGAGATCTCCGTCCGTCACACCGTCATCGAAGGGTACGTAGTCTCTTTGACTGTTCAATGAAGTCTGCTCAATTGGTTCCCTTGTCTGGTATACTAACTGATAACTTCATCGAATAGTGGTGAATTCCACGACCCCAATAACCGCAGACAGTCCCTCACCGAGGACGAGATTGATGAAATCACCATCCCCTCGTACGGCATCGGTGAGATCTGTGCTCGCGGTCGCCGCGGCAGTGAGGGCCGGCTGGACCTCTTCCACGACGAGGAGAAGATCTGCGAGTTGCACTGGGATAATCGCCAGGGCAATCGCGTGAACATCGTCGAGATGCTGGACAGTAATAACAAGTATCGTGTCGAACATGGGGGATGGAGCCCAGAGGCTGGACCTCTGGGCCACGTCTACATTGACATTTTGGAGCAGCAGAAGAAGAAGAATAGCAAATAACGGCGTTTGGGATTTTGGAGTTATCCGGCGAGGTCCGGATGCAGCAGTGCTGCAAGGGAGGGCGTTAGCATATTTTGTTTGTCTTTGAATCGACTGATTGTGTCGAATGTTTTATATGAGCTGGAAATCACATCATACTATTAGTCAATGCGAAGTGAATACTCTTATTTCAAATCCGCAGAAGAGGAATAAATGGAATCGGTGCCTGTTGATAAAGCTCTTCTGATTTAATGTAGTGCGAAGTATGTAACCAAGACTATGGTGAATATGTGTTGGGGCACGGTGATTGCAATTGCCCTGAACCCCGCAGCTAGTGTCCCTAGGCAATAGAATTTGTCTGGAATATGTTGATGCAGCCGCAACTTGTCAGGAATTAAATGTTGGATATTCGCTGTTCGTCAATGCTGCAGCATGTCGAAAGCCTTGCTGGCTGTTTGTTCCTCGTACCAATGAATGAGAGGTATCCATTATTGGATATTGTGATTCGTTATGATATCATATTTACAGGAATCACTTCTTCGACGTAGTAAGGGGCTAATCAGAGGATGGCAACACCATTAGGTGGACTAGCAACTCCACCAGGCACCTAGACTAGTTAGCATCCAACCACCAACAAAATAACAATGATTCCGTACCTTCAGCGGAACACTACTGAAGAAAAAGCTCCATCGGTTCCTCTTCCGACACTCTTGGCTTAATCGATCCAGATCAAACAACTCTCCAATGGGGAGGCCCCAGCCTGCTAGCAACCATTCATGCAACCAGAAATCAGTATTCTGACACGGCCATGCTTCGAAACTAGGCATGTCCCCCGCAACAGCTGCGAAGCCTTCATCCCAGATCCAGCGCAGGGTGTCTTCGGATGATTCGACACCAATGGCCGGTGGGGTCTTGTGATCGGCGAGGTCTTGGCACTCTTCTGCGGAGAGATTTTCATAGGCACGGGTCCAGCCTGTGCGGATAAATAGGATGTCGCCTTTCTTGAATGTTGTCCCTTGGTGAGTGGCGATGTCCTTTAGTGTAGAGACAGGGATGGATGTGGTAGCGAAGCAGTTGATTGATTTCCCCTGTGCTTCCGCCCAGGAGGCATAATCAAGGAGAACGCCGCGTCCTACAATCCCCCCATTTTCAACCCACACTGAGAGGATCAGCACCGCATGCAGTTGTCGGGCAAGGATATGAAACAAACCATGAATTCCATTTCTATCCCCAGTTTGGATCTCCTCCAGAGTACACCCGTTTAGATAGATCTTCTCATTCTGGTAGCCGTAGTGCCTGAATCCGTCCCACTGAGAGCTAATTTGCGTATTGAAAGCGAGGCTGTCATCGTTGACAGCTCGCGGTGCTTTGTTCTTCACGACGTGTTCGAGTTTTGAACGGCCAAAACACGGCTTTTGCATACTGTTCAGTGACCAGTCGGTGGATACGCGGACCCCATCGATGATTTCTTTTGCTGCTTCCCTCGTTGTCTCGGGTGTGAGGCGATTCAGCATACCTAGCTGGTCCGTTGGACCAAAAAGGCCCCAGGCATTTCCGTGGGGACCGTCCTTCTGCAGAGGGAGAAAGTCAAAAGAGACAGAAGGCTCCATTGCAGGTGCTGTGGTGATGAGGCAAATTGGGCTCGTTACAAGGAGGAAACCCCGGGATTATAGGGCATCTCAGAGTTTATTCTGGGGATAATGCTTCATGTGTGGGGGTCGTAGGATTTCCAAAAAATGGGGAAGCCCGTATTTGCAATGATGGTAAGGGTTGATAGATCCGACCGTGGCGAGGGGCGGATTCGGGTGCTTTTCCGCACGTTATAATCAGGTATCACAACGCTTGTTTGAAATGCAAGATTTGTGCTTGATGGACCCATTGATAAAATTCCTCGCATAAAATAGATACTGAACTTCTTCGACTATGAATGTCTGAAACCTGATGTTCACACTGTCACATGGATCAAGCGTCGCTGCGGCTTCCCTGGAAAACGCCAAAAACACCAGAAACACCTTCGAACGCAACTCGCATGCATTTTGCGAAAAGTAAATAAATCACTGCCTCATTCTGTCATTTCACTAATGCTTGCCATGATTATCTTCTTTCCAACCAGTCCGTGCTACACCTGTTCTTTAAACCCAGGCTGACCAACTAAGACTTTTGTAAGTGGGTATCGGAGCGGAAAAGCCTCCGATATATCACTTTTCCGACGCGGATATGCCATATCCAGACAAATACACAGCCAATGCTTGGAGTGAGTGCATAAAAAGAAGGAATTCTCGCAATCACAATCCGCTGCTAACTCTAAGAAAGCAGCCACCTCGCCTGTGGTCCGGTTCCCTAGCAAATAACAAACATATCCGCCCAGACTAGCTTCGGCCAGTCCCCACAATTGATATTCCGGGGCCCCGGGCTACTGAACTAGGAATTGGCAGAGCAATTGGCCAGCGGTGAGTAGAAGATGGTCGCTGATGCGGGGTGTTTCTCAACTGTATTTTTTCTCTCTGACCTGTTCACTGGAAGGAAAGATTAATCGGAATGCTTATATAAAACAACCCATGTATACGGGGACGATAATCTAAGAGCATCCGCTCAACCGTTCTCCGGTATCTAGCCATTTTTGACACCAAATATGAATCATCCCAAAACAACTACAGATCATCTCGAGTCAGTGGAGCAGGATCAAAAGTTAGACGAAACACAATGGCCAGCACAGTTCGACCCAATTCTCCTACGTCGGGTAATCAGGAAGGTCGATTGGATGGTTATTCCATTCATCTGCATCACATATCTTATTACCTACATCGATAAAGCAATGATGGGCTACGCCGCTGTTTTTGGGCTGAAGGAAGATTTACATCTAGAAGGGACTGAGTATAGTTGGTTGGGTATGGGCAGCCGACTTCCATACGATAACATACTAACTCTGACAGGGAGCATGTTCTACTTTGGGTATCTCGCCGTATAGCTATCGGCCCAACCTATAGACGTTATACTTTACTGACATGGGCAGTTCGAATACCCTTCTGTTTCTGCCATGCAGAAACTCTCCGTGTCCAAATGGCTGTCTGTCAATATCTTCATCTGGGGCGGAGTGACCATGGCTCTGGCGGCATGCACGCATTTTCAACCCTTTCTCGGTCTGCGATTTGTCCTGGGTGCTCTCGAGTCATGCTCCACACCAGCCTATCTTGTCATCACAGCAACATGGTATACTATTGAGGAACAGCCGATTAGAATAGGATGGTGGTCCACCTTTCTTGGTATTGCAAATGCGTTTGGAGGGCTGTTGGCATTTGCTATCGGCCATATTCAAGGCAATCTGGCGTCGTGGCAGTACCAATTCATTATCATTGGTGCTATATCTTCTGTGTGGGGAATATTTATGTTCTTTACTCTTGCGGATGGGCCGTCTACTGCGTAAATTTTCTTTCCTCCTGCTTAGGTATACCGCTGCTAATGGCACAGTCGCTGGCTTAACGCACAAGAAAAATACGTCGCCGTCCACCGTCTCGGCCCCAAGCATTCCGGCACCAGGGTGTCCGAAATCAAAATGTACCAGATGTGGGAAGCCCTGGCGGATCCCAAAACGTGGTTCTTCTTCCTCTGTGGCGTCTGCACGCAAGTCGTCAACGGGGCGGCGAGTAACTTTGGGAGTCTCATCATCGAGGGGTTCGGATATTCGAATATTGTCACGACCCTGTTCCAGATTCCGTACGGTATGGTAATATTGGTGTCCAACGTGTCTGCCATGTATATCCAGCGATGGCTTCCAGGGCAGAAGAGGTGTATCGTCGGTGCTATATATGTATGTCCCGCTCTGGCGGGGGCAGTTGGGATCCATACTATATCGAGAGACCACAAAATAGCTCTACTTGTTTGCTACTGGGTATATCGCTTCCTACAACGGCAAATTTATGATGGTGGCTAATTTTATCCTAGCTTACAAGTACTTATACCGCATCATTCGCAATGATCATGTCTCTCATCACAGCAAACACAGGAGGGACCACCAAGCGATCGGTTGTGAATGCCATTTTTTTCATCTCGTACTGTGTTGGAAATATTGTTGGGCCATTTGCCTTCAAGTCCGATGAAGCACCCCAATATACATCCGGGATCATTGCCATGCTGGTCGCATATTGTGTTGAGATTTTTCTCTTGCTTGGGTTCGCAGTCTATGCGGCATATTTGAATCGCACGAAGGATGGGATTACAACCACAAGTGGCCAGACGGATTCTGACGTCGACCAGACAGATAGAGAGAATGTCCACTTTAGATATTCGTACTGATGAAGTGTCTATTGGTCATGTCAAGGGATATACAGCTGGAAAGCATGTGCAATACTATAGTTTATTAGATGCAACAATATATGCTGAATGATGTATGTTTATAAACGAAGCTACAGCACGAAGGCAGCTAACACAGAAGAGGGGAATGAATCGGACAAGTCTATACTATATACAACGCTTTCCATCTCAATTGTATGATACTCTATTCCCCAACATACGCCACACCAGTGATCGCACCCCCAACATCAGCCACAATGGTGTTTTTGCACGACCCATTCAAATCGGCACTGTACAACGAGCCGCCCAAGTCTCCAAAGAACATACGCTTATTCTTGGCATCCAGGGCAATTCCAATTCCCTCGTGAAGCTTGCGCACCAGAATCTTTGGTTCCAGCTTATTCACAGGCGCACTGGAAAGATCCACCGAATTCACCGTATTTCCACGAGGTGGATCTCCACGATCCGTCCAGTACAGCGTCCTCGAAGTGTGATCCAATTCCAAATCAATGGGTTCGGGAAGACCACTAATAAGACATTCAACATCTGTCCGCGACTCCGCCGACTCTCCCTGTCTCATCTCAACCCCCATCCGATAAATCCGGCCAAGGTTGCCCTTTGACGGACCCTTCTGTGTCCAATATACCAATTGTGCCTCCTCGTCGACTGCAATGCCCACACACCAGTCGAGCACAGCCGGTGTGTCCGTGCCCTCACTTGAAGTGGCCTTGTATAGTACCTCAACCTTGCTTCCATCTAGGTTCGCTCGCATCACTCTCCGGCCCTCGCGATCAGACCAGTACAGCTTCTGGGATCGTGGAGCAATGATCAATTGCTTCGGAGTGTGGGTGTATCCCTTCGGGATGATGGTGACTATGTTGTTCCCTGAAAGATCACAGCGTTGAATGGACCCGTCATCAGCAGAAGGGATCCCCATATTTGTCCAGTAGATATGTTGGCAGACAGAGTCGATGGCGATACCGTCGGGCATGGTGTTGAGTTGTGTGATCAACTCGCGGAAATCCGAGCCATCGGGCTTGCAGGTTAGAAGACGTCCATTGGGCTCGGAGTCTGAGATTCCAACATCGAGGAAATAAACACGTCCCGTTGCGGGAGGGTCAGGTCGAGGTGCCATCGTGATGATATGTATGTTGAGTTTTAGTAGTAGTGGTGGTGGTAGTGATGTTAAAAGTTCGAATTGAGAAGTGATAGTAAGAGCCCAATGGAGATGTTCCGTTGCTACGATATATAAATCACGAGCTGTAGCCGGAAAGCTCGGGACCAGCGTTGTTCAACGACCACTTCAAGTTCCGTACTATTACATCTTGAGCGATTAAGTATCTACCATTCAACCAAAAACGTGCTCCACCGGCATACCGATTCTTCCAAGTTTTAATTCCTCGGGCTTCTGGTAACCGGTTCATAATCGATGCCGAATATCCGCTAGACTTCGGATTACCCGATCGGGAACGGAAGCAGATGACATAATCGCTCGGGTGGATACGAGAACTTCGGATGGAAGTTCGGAATTTCGTCCTTTTCCAAGAATGTTGTATTCCTCTTCGCATGATGATGTTCTCATTCCATGCCGGCCACTCTTCTCCACATGGTGAGGCCTTGAGAGAACCCAAGCCGAAACGCGCCAAGATCAGAATTGCCTGCAATGTATGCAAGGCCAGGAAAACCAAGTGCGACGGAGCTAGACCAAGTAAGAGAGACCAATAACATTCCTTGTCACACGTGGTGGAGAACTAGATTAGGCTCATCATGCATTAGTCTGCGGTCCCTGCTTGAGACGGAAACGAACCTCGTATACCACAGCCTGTGAATACCGTGAGGGTGATATCAGTGAGCAGTCAAGCCGCACAACTGAACAACTACCAGAAGACTACCCACAAGCCAATGATAATGATGACGCTACCAGCAACTTCAGTGAATCTGTCCCAACCGGCGGCTTATTTGGTGCATCCAGTGGTGCACACTTTCTACAAGATGTCGGAAGTCAGCCAGGTGCAGCAAGTACCCCTACCAATAAAAGACAAACACGGACTCCAGGTCTACCAAAAGCACTGAGATGTCTGCCGAAATTGCATAAACGTACCCAGAAAGCACACACTGATGTGCAATTTGCTGTTCCACCAAGGAAGCAGGCAGACAAGCTTCTGAGCCTCTATTGGGACTATGTGGACAGCGCCTACCCCTGGCTAGACCGACCTTCAATTGAGAACGCATACGAGACCCTATGGGTTCATGACGGTGAACTGATGATGGACGAGACCGTCCTCCATTGCCTTCTGAATCTCATGTTCGCCACATCTTGTGTCGCATCTCAAGGGGCAACCCCGCTTGACCGCTACCAGTCCTCGGTTGTGTTCTTCGACCGAGCTCAGGCGCTGATGTCGTACAATCTGATGGACATGTACAACATCGAAATTATTCAGATACTGTTGCTCACAGCTGTTTATCTCCAGCATGAAAAAGAGCCACAGAAGTGCTTCCGGATTATTGGGACTGCGATTCATGTCGCCCAGGAAATCGGATTACATATTCCTGAAACAACGCAGGGGATGGACAACCCAAAAGACCGAGACCTAGCGTGCCAGGTGTGGAATGGATGCGTTATCATGGACAGGTATGACACCAGAGCTTAAATTCCGAGTGTAGACACTGAAGCCATTCTAGAATCTGTGCCATGACTTTCGGCTGCCCCCTCAAAGTTCCTCGATCTGTTGCACAAGAAGGGCTGAACGCGCTGGTGCTCAATTCCGAGGAATCCAATGGAGATACTGTAACCCCCAGCCTACCATCGAAACTAAACTTCTACATATCATTTTGCCGACTACATCACATCATAGCAGAAGTACTGGAGACATTTTACTCCATCGATGATAGCACGGCGCGACATCATTTATCCGAAAATCGCAACGACCGTGAGGGAAGCTGCGCTGTTCTTTTCGATAAATTTGCGAGCCTATTTCGCATCGATTCTGCTTTGAAACACTGGGCTCATGGCCTACACCCCTTTTTTCAGATGCCGTCGGAACTGGAGGATCCAACGCCGACCAAGCACATCACTCGTGAAGCCAATATCCTACGCGCCAGGTCTGTTACTACGCACACATGTCATAAACGAGACCACTGACATCTCTTGTACGCGAAGATATCTTTCAGTCCGGCTTCTGCTGTTCAGGATATTGCTTATACAGATCCATCAACAGAAGGCAGAAAGTGCCCCCAGTACCGGTCTCTATGCAGACGATGACCAGATTATGCCCCACGTGGTTTTCCAATGCCAGGTGAACTGCACAAAAGCGGCCGTTGACATGGTTGAATTCATCCTCCGGAACTCCCCGGGGCAGAAACAAGCGTATATTTTACCATCCAATTGGTACACTGTCTCATGTACTTTGCACCTTCCCCTTAATTAAGCACATATTGCCAGCTAACTAAGGAAGATGTCTATATGGCTGTCACAAATTTGCTTGCGGCTCAGTCGTCCCCGCAGATAGTCGAGTACTTTTCTGCAGATCGCTTGCAGCGCATTCTGCAACATGCTCGAGACATTCTCCAGGATTACGAGGAACATACCACGCTGGCATCGAGGTGCCGTTCGGCATTAAATTTGATCGAGCAGAGCATTGGTCGGCGTGAATCGATAGCGAATACAGGGCACCCTGATGCGTCACCAGTTAACAGAGGTCATGAAAACACATCTGTGCAGGACTTTGTCTTGAATACTCAAGAGCCTCCGCCAACCATAGGAGATGATCTGGGAATAGTGGAGAATTATACCTTCGATTGGAACAATTGGCCCATGTTCTTCGCGCAGCTCGGAGACGACACACAGCTCACTCAAAGCTGGAGCCTGTAGGCCTGGGCATTGATCCTTAATGACGTGTCATCTCCTTTGTGCATCAACAGTGTACGGTACCGATCGGCTACCTACTGGCAACAGTTTACAAATCTCGAAAAAGCCCACGCGGAGTGGAGAAGAAGAGGTTCGCTTTACATTCTTTGGATAAAGACAGAATCTAAATGGTCTGTGATACAGAAAGGAAATTAACGCTAGTATATATATTGCAAAAAGAATGGATACAACGCGCCGCGATTACCCTGCGATTACATGTGTCAAAGATGGGTTTGCAGCTCCAAATTATGGGTGCATCAGGATCTAAGATTCACAGCCAATTGATGCTACGATCATGGTAGCAATTAGGCACAGCCGGTGTCAGCCAACGAGGCGTTACACTGGGGTCACTCAACTGAACCACAGGCTTCAAGAGTTCCATCTTACCCCAGGGGCCTTCCCCAAAGCTGGAGAGGAGCGATTCAGGACCAGCCTTGAAGTATTGAGGGAAGACACTCTTCCACCCATCCATGACAACCAGCAAGATTTCTGTTACAAACTGCGACGGCCCGATGTGTCCCCACTTGAACAACTGGCTGCACCTTTCAACAACTTCGGGCGAGTAGAGCCCGATCTCAGGCTCGAGATTAATTGTATCAGCCTTAACCAACGAGCTCGTCACGCGGTACGAACCGCCGTGTCGGGAGCGATCGCGGAGAGCCATAAGTGCGCCCAACGCTCCCACAAGCCCGGTTGTCATATCAGAGATGGGCAGTGGCGGTAGGACGCTTGTCCCATCCTTGAAGCCCAAGGACCGACCCATCACGTACGACGAACCAGACGCCGCATCTCCGATTTGCTGCCAGCCGGGTCTCTCGTGGTAGGGGCCGTCGGGGCCGTAGCAGTTCTCTTCAACATAGACGATGCCCTTGCCACGGTTACCAGCCATTTCGAGAAGATCATTGACACCAAATCCCTTTCGTGCAATTGCGTTGGGGCGGAATCCCTGGACAAAGACATCTGCGCCCTCGATGAGTTCACGTAGGCGTGACTTGTCCTCCTCCTTGGTCAGATCGAGATCTATGGTGCGTTTGCCAGCATTGAGAGTAAGTTGCAAGACCTGGATTTCAAATCAATACATTGTGTTCCGAATGAACCCAAGTAAAAGTGGGGGACGTACATTGAGATCCACCAAGCGACTGCAGTTGACACGAATGACATCGGCACCAAGTGCGGCCAGAGTACTGCCAATCACTGGACCAGCAATGATACGCACCAGCTCTACCACCTTGATGCCTGCGAGTGGCCGCTTATCGTTCGCGACCGTGGCAAAAGGAACCGGAGGAGTTGGTATCGCATGCGACTGACGCGAGTAGCCGACCAGCGGGTGCTCTGCAAGTCTTTCCCCCATCAGTGTATCCGCCCACCCTTGCGGCGTAAAGCAGATACTACCACAAAATCCGTTCTTGACGTTGAGCATCTCGAGCTCATCTGCAGTCCACTGCTGGACATGCTTACTGATGTACTCGTAGGCTTCGTCCGGCGTCTGGGCCGGGTACTCGGGATCCATCCCTAGAGCACGCAGAACAGGCGCGGCATACAGGGAGCCATGAATCTGATACCAAACTCCTGGCGTCTTGGTCTTGTAGATCGCAGTCGACCGTTGTCTCAAAGGCGTTGCTTGCCAGCCCTTCTCGAAATCACGCTCGAAAAGGGACGGTAGCTTGCGCGACCGTACCAATTCAGACATGTCCTTTCCTTCGACAGACGCCGCAAAGATCGTCCCCAGCCAGATGGCCGCGTGATCGGTGTTCACCTTCACCGTCTGATCCCGGGCTGCAGTACCATCGCGATCTTCGACGATCTCGTGGGCCACAACACCACACATGGCATGTAAGGCAGCGGCGACAAGAGGAGCCTTGGTCGGGCCAGGGATAACAGGCAACTCGCAGCCAGTGAAGCTGACTGTCTTCCACAGCTCTTGGTCTTGAGTGAACCCAGGCGTGCGCTTGGCAATATACTCGAAGATGCGACTAGCATCTTGGGGCGCGGGAAGGAAATCCTTATCGACAAAGGTCCCAGGACCATAAATGTCTGCACTTGGCTTCGTTTCGTGGGAAGCCATCGTGAAGTGTGGTAGAAGGGTGCAGGAAAGCGAATGATATAAGAAAATTAGCGAGTACTAAAGTGTTTGTAGAGCAGGGAAGGATCTAAAGACTCAAGGATACAGTGACTATTAGTATACAGCCATCATCACTTCCTTTCTCCACACTAGATCCATCAAACCGTTGAATATCGTAGGTCCCCCATCTAAATTCATTCCGATGTTTTAAAACTGGCATCCCGAACTCGCGGAAAGTGTAAATATCGGCAAGCCGAAACCACGGAACCCGCTAGTTGTGGCCCAAAGTGGCAACTCGCCCCTGCTGAATTATGTCATTCCGAGCAAAACCCGGTTGAACGCCGCGTGAATCCCGATCACTGGGACTGCTGGAACGCCTTTTCTGATGATCGTCGTCATCAACTTCGGGCCCCTTCCGAGGTGCATATTACCCGATTAGGTAAGTGCATATAGATTCCGTTATATTAACACCACCAAAGTAGAAGCTGGTGGACTGTCACTCGACGTTGGTGGATATATTAAAGGACAGATACTAAACACCTTCCAGGCTCAATTTGCAGAGCGCAGACTCACAAAACTTTGCAATGTCCTCCTCGATTCAAACCGTGGGTGTGATCGGCGCAGGCGTCATCGGAGCCAGCTGGACAGCACTCTTCCTGGCCAAGGGCCTCAAAGTGATTGTAACAGATCCAGCGCCAGGAGCCGAGGCAAAACTGCGCGACTACTTGCAGGAGTATTGCTCCGAGGTACCGAATGCTACGGTTGCTCCTGCCGCTTGTCTGAAGAATTACACATTTGTCAGGGACATTGAGCCTTACCTCGGAAGCCTAGACTTGATTCAAGAAGTAAGCGACCGTTCCACAGAACTCCTCTTGCGCCTCATCATCAATACTAACAATCATGCCAGAATGGACCGGAGAGATTGGACTTTAAACGCCGTCTGTTTGCACAGTTGGACGCAAAGACACCTCCTCATATCCTCATCGCATCTTCGTCCTCCGGCCTTCCTTCGTCAGAATTTGTCACTGAATGCTCCAACAACCCATCTCGAATCCTTATCGGCCACCCCTTCAACCCTCCTCACTTGGTGCCTCTCGTCGAAGTTGTCCCTCACCCAGGAACAAGTCAAGACTATGTGACGGGTGCATACAATTTCTACAAAAGCCTGGACAAAGAGCCGGTGGTCGTACATCAGGAAACGCCTGGTTTCATCGCCAATCGGCTACAGGCCGCCATCTGCGCCGAAGCGTACAGTCTCGTATCACGAGGAATTGTTTCCGCCGAAGATCTTGGTGAGTACTGAATTCCCTCCCTACTGGCATGTGCGGGCGATTCTAATGCATATAGACAAAACCGTCACGTCCGGTCTCGGTCTGCGCTGGGCACTGACAGGGCCGATAATGACAAATACTCTCGGGGGAGGGGGAGACTTTACCCATTTCATGGATCATCTGGGACCGGCGTTGAAATCGTGGCTCGACGATATGGCGGTGAACAAATTTGACTTGGGATCCGAGGATCAAGTGAACGGCTTGAAAAAGAATGTCAATGGGTGGATATCGCAAGTCGACCTGAAGAAGGTTGAAGGACATCGTGATTTGCTATTGGCTAATCTGGTCAAGGGCAAGCTAGATCAAACAGCGAACCAATAGGATAACCGGGTTATTGACGCTTTTTATGTGACAGGACAGCCATGTTGTGCAACTGCAGATTTTTCGATAGGAATAATAATAGACTTACACGAAGCGGCGGTATCCCTTGACACGAGGGTTCTTCTGAGTAAAGCCTAGCATTGACTGCGGCGATCTGCCAGTCACTCTTTATGGTCATCGTAAGCAATTCACATCGGCAACTAGGAGGCAGCCTGAGTCTTAACCCCCAAGTTGCAGTCCACGTTACGCCTATCGTTTTCTTACTTCTCGCCAATGCCCAATTTTGAAGGAGACTGAGGTGAATCTCAGGCAGCTACAAAATGAAGCTCTATATTGAAAATTGTTGAGTTAGCGTTGGTACATCTATGGTCATGTCTAGTGCAGGCTGTGTACCGACTGACATACCTTGTTTCCTGAAAGCCTGCTGTTCACTTAAGCAAATTCGTCAAATATATGGGAACTGGGAAACGTCATGGTAGTGTCCCATATTTATCTTCCCATTGGCTTCCTCGCCTTCACCAGCGCACAAGGTTCCGTCCGTCATTACGCGTGAGCGTCCTATCTAGCGCTTGTCGGAAAAGCAGCGGACTTGACAGACCGGCGCGGAAAAGGCCCGGATCCACAGTGAAATCATCCAAAACAGTCAAGCTTCTACAGATGATGTGGACCGCACTCGATCCCAGGCTTCCAACTCGCTGAAGGGATGTTATGCTCGGTATAACTCGGCTTCAAGCTCCCCGTGCCCCCACAACTCCTCCGGGTTTCCTCCACAATACAGAAGACGGGCCCCCGATTCCCCGGACGAGAATATATGGGTCTGGCAAGGTGGTGAAATAGCAGTGATATCCACATCAGACTCTAGGGGAAAACGAGGCCCCCTTAATGCCTTCGCTCAGAGCTATTCTGTTTTGCCGGTAGTCTTCTTTTTCTGCCTCCTCCCCTTCCCAACACTGATCCATATACGCATAAACACGTTATTCCAACAATTCTTTTCTCATACGCCAAAATGAAGCCTGCTTTAGGTCTCCGCGGCACCAAACTCAACATCGGGCACATCTGTACGGTCATTCTCCCGGCCTACATCTGCTTCGGTTATCTCATGGCTGTGACATCGGGCATCGAAACTCGGCAGTCATGGGTACACACATTTCCCCAGATGGACACTGTCAATACGACAGGCTCCAGAGAAGCAGAGAACTCTCGAATCAAAGGCACGGTGACGGCAATCTTCAACCTGGGCTGTCTTTTCA